CAAGGAAAGTTAGAGACGAGTAGGAAGCGGGAAAAAAACTTGTCAGAACCGACTTCCAAGAAGAGTTTTTTCCTGACGAGCAATTGAGAAAAACTAAAGAATACTGGCAGGCGGGAAAAAGCTGGATGGAAATATTTTTCAAAACGAATGTTTAATCTTATAACCAAATGAGAAAAACTAGAGACGACTGGCAAGTGTGAAAAAAACTGGACGGAGCCGAATTTTAAAGAGTAATGTTCCTTCTTACGCAGGAAGGAAGCTGGACAGAAGCAACTTTCAAGGGGAATGTTTGACCTGACAAACAAACGAGAAAAGCTAGAGACTTCTAGCAAGCGAGAAAACAGCTGGACGGGTTAAATTTCCAATGGAAATGTTTTCTCTTCGGAAGAATTAAGGAAAACTAGAGACAATAAGCAAGCGGAAAAAAAGCTGTACGGAACCAACTATCAAGAGGAAATTTTGTCTTTATGTTAAAACGAGAAAAACTACAGACGGAACCAGCTTTCAACAGAAAAGTTTGATCTTACCAAAAATAAAGGAAACCTAGAGAAGATTGGGAAGCGGGAAAAAAAAGCGGGACGGAACAAACTTTCAACAGAAATGTTTGATTTTAAGAAGAATCACGGAAAGCAAGAGACGACTAGGAAGCGGGAAAAAACTGGACAGAACCCACTTCCAAGAGGAGTTTTTGACCTGACGAACAAACGAAAAAAACTAAAGAATACTGGCAGGCGGGAAAAATCTGGATGGAACCACCTTCCAAAACGAATGTTTGTTCTTATGATCAAACGAGAAAAACTAGAGAAAACTAGCAAGCGGAAAAAAAAGCTGGACGGAACGGAATTTTAAGGAGTAAGGTTTCTTCTTACGCTGGACAGAAGCTGGGCAGAAGCAACTTCCAAGGGGGATGTTTGACCTGACAAATAAACGAGAAAAACTAGAGACTTCTAGCATGCGTGAGAAAAGCTGGACAGAACAGAACTTTGAAGAGTTATATTTCTTCTTACGATCAATTGAGGAAAACTAGAGACAATTAGCAAGCGGGAAAAAAAGCTGGACGGAACCAACTGTCAAGAGGAATCTTTGTCTGTATGTTCAAACGAGAAAAACTACAGAAAAATGGCAAGCGGAAAAAAAGCTGGACGGAACCAGCTTTCAACAGAAAAGTTTGATCTTACGAAAAATTAAGAAAAGCCAGGGAAAACTGGGAAGCGGGAAAAAAAGCTAGACGGAACCAACTTTCAACAGAAAGTTTTGATCTTGCGAAGAATCAAGGAAAGCTAGAGACGAAAAGGAAGCGGCAAAAAACTGGACAGAACCAACTTCCAAGAGGAGTTTTTGACCTGACGAACAAACGAGAAAAACTAAAGAATACTGGCGAGCGGGAAAAAGCTGGATGGAACCATTTTTCAAAACGAATGTTTTTTATGATCAAACGAGAAAAACTAGAGATTTCTAGCAAACGAGAAAGGAGCTGGACGGACCCAATTTTCAATGGATATATTTGCTCTTAGGAAGAATTCAGGAAAACTAGAGACAATAAGCAAGCGGAAAAAGAGCTGGACGGAACCAACTATCAAGAGGAATCTTTGTCTTTATGTTCTAACGAGAAAAACTACAGACAAATATCAAGCGGAAGAAAAGCTGGACGGAACCAGCTTTCAACAGAAAACTTTGATCTTGCGAAAAATTAAGGAAAACTAGAGGAGACTGGGAAGCGGGAAAAAACTGGATGGAACCATTTTTCAAAACGAATGTTTTTTTTATGATCAAACGAGAAAAACTAGAGCCAACTAGCAAGCGTGAAAAAAGCTGGGCGGAACCGAATTTTAAAGAGTAGGAGGGGAACAGAATGTTCCTTCTTACGCTGGACAGAAGCTGGGCAGAAGCAACTTCCAAGGGGAATGTTTGACCTGGCAAACAAACGAGAAAAACTGGAGACTTCTAGAAAGCGTGAAACAAAGCGGGACGGAACCGAAGTTTGAAGAAAAATGTTTCTTCTTACGATCAAACGAGAAAACTAAAGACGATCAGCAAGCGGAAAAAAGCTGGACGGAAACACCCATCAAAAGGAATGTTTGTTCCTATGATCAAACGAGAACAACTAGAGACGAAGAGCAAGTGTGAAAAAAACTGAACAGATCCAACTTTCAAGAGAAACGTTTGTTCTGGCAAACAAACCAGAAAAACCACAGACGACGAGCAGTTGGGAAAAACCTTGGTCAAAATCAATACTTGAGGAGGAATGTTTCTTCTGATGATCAAACGGAGAAAACTAGAGTCGATCGGCAAGCAGAAAAAAAGCCGGACAGAAGCAACTTTCAAGAGGAATGTTTGACCTGACAAACAAACGAGAAAAACTATAGACTTCTCGCAATGGGGAAAAAAGCTGGACGGAATGGAATTTTAAGGAGTAAGGTTTCTTCTTACGCTGGACAGAAGCTGGGCAAAAGCAACTTCCAAGGGGAATGTTTGACCTGACAAAGAAACGAGAAAAACTAGAGACTTCTAGCATGCGTGAGAAAGGCTGGACAGAACAGAATTATGAAGAGTTATATTTCTTCTTACAATCAAACGAGGAAAGCTAGAGACGACTAGCAAGTGGGGAAGAAAGCTGGACGGAACCAGTTTTCGGGTCTTCAAGTTCATTTTTCCTAGTTACTCGTATATGGTTACCCTCAATTGTACTTCCAAGTTAAGCATCTTCAAGTTACTATCAAAAGTCAACGATTAAGCACGCTTGCACATAAAAGTCAAAGGCTCAAAAAGTCAACATAATGACATTTTAAGGTAATCATCACAGTGCATAAAGAACTAAAACAGACCATTAAAAATAAAAATTATCAAAATTAGAATTTTGGCGAAGTTCACTGCGGATTCAATACTTAAATTAGGGAGTAGCGGTTTATGCTGTGAAATTTTCAGCAAACAAATCAGGCAGTGAATCACAATCATTTTTACGGGAAAAATCAAAATGTCAAAACTAAAAACTTCCCAAGTCCATCTAAGTTTTTCTTCAGAAAATTTCATAAACGGACTTCGGGGAGAATCTCACAACCTGTTTCTCGATTGATCTTTTCATCACAGATTACGGGGGGGGGGGGTATTTTCGAAAAAATGAAAAAAAAATTAACAAAAACGGTCAAAAATTCAAAATTTGCACTTTTTCTGAGGCCAATTTTTTAGAATAATTACAGCGTAGCACTTAATGGAAAATAATCAGAACTGTTCGACTCATTAACCCAGATTTGGAAGCGCTTTTCTAAGGCCGGCCATTGTTTCGTCCATACAAAATTAGAGCGTAAACTAAAGCAGGGAAGATCCTCACAAACTGTTCAATTGAAGTTTTTAATTTAGTTTTCAGAGATAAATTTTGAGAATATTTTTGAATACGGACTTCTGCAAAATTGATTACAATTTTTCTAATGTATAAAAATTTCAAAAACGTTCTTTTGCTAAGTTAATTGCGGTTTGCTTGAGCTTTTCGTAATAAAAAAAATCCGTCCCAAACAATAATACCTGTTATTATCAAACAGCAATTTTTTTGAACTTCTGAAGAATGTTTAAGCTCGAAGTAATTTTTTCTCTTCGAATAAAAAAAAACTTCATCTGTGATCATTTTAGCTCTATATGGGTTTGAATTTAAAATTCGAGCGCTATGATTTGAATTGTGATAGTAACGCGAGATATTTTTCCCATATATATTGTGAAAGCGTAAGCGACTATTCAAATCATTTCATTTTGAATGATGCAAGAAGCACATTGCTAACATAATGCTTCCAGGCACACGAAACGATTCATTTTATAAGTAACATAGCTTCTGCATATGTGTGTCTGGGAGGGGAGTGCTTTTCAAATTGTTTAACCAAAACCATTTTCATCGACGTTAGTGGGAAGTCGGAACATTCGCCTTGATACAAGCAGGCAGTATTGTTTGATATTGGCTCTAGGGGGAGAAAAAACATATTGAAAAAAAAATCAAAATACATACTTTAACAGTGGCCAAAAAGCAATCGGATTGTTCAAGTTTTTGCCTTAATAAGGGCCGTCTTGTTTCAAATAATGAATTGTATATTGAGGACAACTTCGATGAACTACACAGCTTGAGAATGCTCAATCCACAGAAGAATTTTGAGCCTTACATCATTGCACCCTTGGCGTTCTTTTACTTGTAATTTGCCCATATTTTAGCAAATGGTTAAAAAAGTGAAAAAAAAATTATTAAAACAATGCCAAAATATATTTTTACCTTCGGAAAACTTTGAAGACACTTTTTATAAAACAGAAAAGCACACGACCTCAATAAGCTTGATCGTTAGTTTTATTTTAAAACGTTGATAGTTTTATTTTATCTCTAATGCTAAATATTTTTATTATTATTTTTTGCAAAAACCGTAACAACGCCCATATAATCAAAAGAGTCACGTTAAAAAATTAACGAGTTCGAGAAAACGAAATTTTCCACTGAAAAAAAAACGGGCAGAAATGAAGCAGACACCCTGCAGATTGAAAATGTTTAGTTTCCGGTAGAATCACATTCAACTGTCATTTTTATGTGCTAATCCTTGCCCGCATTTTACAAGTGGTCACAAAAAATTTAATTTAATGGAACTAAAAATAGTTGTAATTTATGAAACATTATCTCTAATATAGTGCTGATTTAATTTATCCGGACAAAGCGAATAAAACTTGAAATTTAAAACCCGTTTTTCTCAAATTGGGTTGACTTCAGACAAAAAAATTTTGAATACACAATTTGCTCTCAACTGCAGCACAATTCGTATGGTGCAATTTGCCTAGCAAAATTTACCCTAACACTAATCATTTTTGGCTTTTTTTAGTCAATCAAAAATTACGCCAAAACTACTAAATCAATTGAAAATAAAACTATACCAAAGTGAGCCTCTTTTGTAGCCAAACGAAGTTTAAGAAGGGTATAATTGTTCATATAATTTAAATCAGCCCTGTACACTTTTACAACTGAAATCGCTGACTGAAAACAAAAAATCAAACTTAAATTCAACCTCCATAAACTAAATTCTGGTGAGCACGCTAAAAATGTGATATGTAATGAAGACGTGAAGAAAAATTATACATCTTGTCAATCAGTCACAAACAAAAACAGAACAAATTATGACTGCATTCATTAATTTGTTTTCACCAACAGCTCTTGAAATTTAGTCAAGAAATTAGCCCACCATTATTCTAAATTACGAGCTTTAAATAAAAAGAGTGAAATTTTTTTAAGTTATAAATTCAGAGAAGCACATTTATAGCTTAAGCCGCTCAATACTAATTTTCACTCTTTTTTGACAAAAAGGAAGAATTTAAAAAGCTTCAAAAATAGTTTTTACAACGACTGTAAGTATTTAACACGGTAGAATTTTTATTTGGATTTTATTAACATTGATACATTTCAACAATACGCAGTTTAAAAGACATTTAAAGGTAAAGTTACACAACATAGAAGAAAATTCTCATCAGATTTCGAATTGTTTTCCCAGTAAATTCATTTCAGCGTGAAGTTAATTTGAGCCACTTCTGGTCAGTAGTTTGCACATTGTCTGTTCATTTTGGATCACATTGGCTTTCTTGCTCCTGATGAGCTCAGTGGTTTCGGCGACTTTCTGGTCCAGGAATTCCAGACCCTCCAAGAGAGGAGCCAGCTCACGGTCTGTCTTTCTGAAAAAAAAATAAATGCTTATTCTAACCTTCGAGAAAAAGTTGGCCAACAGTATAAAAAAATGTGACATGTTATGTCAACTGTTAAAGTAATTACAGATTTTATTTTTAGATTTAGTATGTACTTTTTTGTTTAAACTAAGTAAAACATCGGTTAAAAACAATTTCACAAATTGCCTCTTAGCGTGCTTTGAGTGCAATTTTCAATCGGTACCTTAACCAATAAAATCTTGAGCCGCCACCTTTTTGTTACGACCATTGAAAATGGGGAGGACCTTTGTATTTGGGTGTGTTTTCGTTTTCTTTTTTTTTCAACTTGTTGTTTTCCACATAAAATCAGGTAGCACAAATAATCAATGGATAGGGTTGAGTGATATATCATATTAAAAAGCCCTTTCAGTCGTGATTCGAATGACATTAGAAAATTCAAAAAAGCTTTCACCGTGTCGAGAAAAACCGGTTTGAAATTTTTGATTTTTGGTCTAATTTCGGGCTAAGTAGTAAGGTAGCTTATTTAGGCTTAAGTTAAGCGGTGAAAACTTAGTGTTACTGAAATAAAGGTAGTTTTTGAAGTTTTTTAGTGCAGTTTCGGGAATCAAAAACGCTTAGCATAAAACTTTTAAATTTTTTTGTTTCGTTTTCTAGTCATTATTCTTCAAAAAGTGTTTTCCAATTGACCTATTTTACTATGACTCTCAAATATGCCTAAGTTATATTATTTCGTTCAGATTTTTTATCACAACAAGCAGAAAAAAAACGACACCAGTTTGAGAAAACATTTTGTATTTTTTTAAGAATGTGGTCTGAACATTCTGTGCTACTTGCACAGTAACCACCTATCCTTGTTTTTATCAGTATTTATTAGATGATCTTTATGTCAATGGTAGAAAAGGGAATAAAGCCCGAAACATTCTATTGTTTCGCATAACTTCCAGTAAGGACCACGAAAATCGCGAGCTGAAAACTAAATTGCTAACTGTTTCTCTCTTTGGAGCAGCTGGTCATTCTTCAGGATCTCCTGCGACCAGAAATTCAGTTCTTTATTCATGGTGTCCACGTCCTCCTGCACATAGTTCATTATCTGCTTCAGAGGAGCCGCACTCTTCACCAATGTCTGAAGCTTCTCCTGCAGCGCCTTGGTCCGCTTCGTGATAGCCTCTTGCTCCCGCGAGATCACACTCTTGTCCTGAGATACACAAGATCAACATTTTAATTAAGGACTATTCCACTTTTTGATACACAAATTGGATTTGGAGGACAAAAAAAAAACAAGCAGAGGAATGGAACAGTATAACTTGAGTAAAAAGAAAAAAAACGTTCTATTTTTTAAACACTACATCATCAAAAAGCGGATTCAATTTCAGAAAAATTGAATTTTTTTTTCAAATGAATATTCGCCTACCGATTACCATTAGAATCATGTGCGCAAAAAAGCAGAACTGTATTTGTTTACTTCGAAGCTTAACCAGCAACCGCGGTCTAGCACAGCGTAAAAATTGATATTTGTGTTGCAAAATAACTTCCTCAAAAACACTCACAATTGTGACTGTCGTCTTGGCAGCAGCTGCTGAGGATGCCTGCTCGTCGGTCTTCTTAGTTTCTAGAATCTTCTGCACCAGACCTCCATGTTCTTCTCCCTCCGCGCCAGCGTCACCGCCCAAATTGGATCCCCTGTCGTACCCATTCCGCATAGCACCCTAAATTATAAACTCAATCAAAAACTCTAAGATTGATATTACGCATCATTGGCAAAACTAGAAACGGTTTCGAAAAAGGAGCAAGGTACTAGATTTAAATTAATTGAATTAAAGATGCTCAAAGAATGTTTTTTGAAGATGTTTCTAAAATATGAGTCAAAAATAACGAAAAAAATACCATAACCCTGCACTTCCCCGTTAAATACCGAGGGTTTGGCTGCCGTACCCTGCTAATAATTAATTAATTGTGAGCCATTTCTTCGACAAATCATATTACGATATCCTGCGACCAATAATCACTTTTTATCATTATTTGAACTGACGTCTGAAAGTAATTGCCGTATTAAAGTGACTAACATCCATAGTTTCCTGTGTGACGATGACCACATCGTCGTCGTCATCATCATCAGAACTGTCATCTGCTTTCTTGACTGGCTTGTCATATATAATCTGTGTGGCGGAATCACCACCCTGGCTGCTGAAAAATACTCCAAGATAAGTTAGATAAATTAAAGGGGAACATTTTTTAATTGATACCTTTTCAATTCATTTTGCCTTCATGAAACATTACCATGAGAATATAAACTTTTTACCGGCAAGTCTGTAAGTACAGTCAGTTTTGACAATTTAAGTTATGTTAAATCATATAAAAGGTCAGAATCACAGACTAAAAAAAGAACAAATAACCAGAATGTCTAAATAATTTTCAGTCGTGTTGGAACTAGCTTGAATATTTCAGGTTCAGAACAATTAAGTTCAGCAATATTTACCTCGAATTTTTTGAGTTTATTGGCTTATCCTTCCTATACAACCAAAACTGTTAAAAACAATTACATTTTTAAGCATCGAAACCATACTTCTTCTGCAAATTGGAGTTCCAACTAAGTTAAACAAACAAAATAAAAAATTGATTGAAATTTTGAAAAAAAAAAACATTCAATTTTCAAATTTAAAAAATGTTTTCTTAAAATTCTTTGAAATTAATGAACAATTTATGATTGACAGCTTTTTGATAAAACTGACCCAATATAAGAAAACTGAATCAATGGATAATTTTGTCATTCTTTTAGCAAATAATTTGAACTGAACTTCAAAACAAATCAAAAGTTAAACCCCAAAACATCAGATTTGATTGAACAAGTTTTAAGACATTTTCTTGAAAAAAATAGAAGTTCGAAAAAGTCCAGAAATAACAGAACGCACCCAACGAACGCTTTCTCGGTTGAGGAGTTTGCATTGTTCCTTTTTCGAGGAGCTGCTGGTCGCGAACTCATAGGACGGGGTGCACCACCCTGTACCAACTGAGACGAAGGAGGCGGAGGAGCTGCTGCCGACGAAGTCGTATTGCCCCCCGACTGCTGCTTTCGGCTCTCATTCTCACTCTCGCCTCTCGCGGGTGTCTGTTCGTTCTCGTCTTCAGGAGCCGGAGATCCGGAGGTTGTCGGTTGAGCGGGTGCCGTTTGTTCCGAGCTGTTCTCCTCTGCGCCGTCTGAGTCCCCGTGTACTTGGCGTCTGCGGTGTCCTTTTGCCGAAGTTGGTCGTTTGAAAGTCTGAGCTGTGGGAGTCTGGTGGTCTATTATTTCCTAGAAACAACAAAGATTGCTAAAGTTAACAATCTAGTACTTACGCAATATAAGTTTTGATCTGAGCAGCTATATGTACTTGCAATTTTTAGCCAATTTGTACGGTGAAAAACTTCTAGCCAATTTGTACGCTGAAAAACGTTGAAATTTGAACGCAAAAAACGCTTTAGCCGATTTGTACGCTGACATTTGTACGTAAAAAATGCTTTAGCCAATTTGTACGCTGAAATTTCGACGCAAAAAATCAGAATTGAAAAAGTAATCGGTTCTCACTCCGTCTATTCCAGATACATAAAAAACATCTTGCGGAAAGAATATCAATTGTGGGACAGTATAAAAGATACTTGACACGCGTTTAGATTCGCAAAAAAACGCTTTGACATTTTTTTGCTTTGAAGACGACATTGCTCGGTTTTTCCTAAGTCTTTGAACATACCCTACTTCGATAACGCTAACAGAATTGAATTGTAATACAGCTAAACGGTAGTAAAAACTGATGGAATTTTGCGGACGAAAAAGTGAGTAGCAAATAGTAACTTGATGATTGAAATAAAAACGATATATATATATTTTTTGGGGGCTAGGAAATTAGACGATAAGCAAATTAGACGATAAGCAAATTAGACGTGACCAACAAAAACGAATTTAGACGTCAAATTGTGTTTGGAAAACCAGCATTTTAGACGGAAAGCAAAAGGCTAACGAAACTTATATCTTAAAACAAGTTTTCAAATTTACAAAAATAATATATGCTTATCAGAATATTTATCTCAATTTGTTTATAAAATGTTAGTTTCAAGATTATAAAAAATTTTTGAAATGCATAAATTATACAATTGCGGCATATGAAAAATGCGGAATGTGAAAATTGCGGCATCAGAGAAATTGATTTGCATTTAAGAAAGCTGAACAAAAGTTAATTGTAGTCGGTAAACAAATTTCAGACACGAACAATACAATTACGTCTAATTTCCCATATTTGTAATTTTGCATCGACGTCTAAATTCGTTTGTTGGCCAAGGCTAATTTGCTTTTCGTCTAATTTCCTAGGCCCCATTTTTTTCTTACATTTTGCGTAATTTGCACCGCATCTGGGTATTGGTATTCAATAGTACTTGTTAGGTCCAAATTTTATCTTCCACCCAAAATGCAAAGATTTAAACAGCATAAATATTTCAATTTCATGGTTATCAAAAAATCTGATCTTTGAAAGTTAGGAATGCTTCAAGATTACATATAGAACTATTTCCGGAAGAATTATGAATAATGGTTTTAGGCATCATATGTTTATTTTAGACTTAATCGAACTTTGACAATGTTAAATACTTAATTCGGTCTAATTGTTCGAAAATCTCATCACAAGCTAAAAGTTCTGCATTAAAATATTTTCTGTAGAAAAGCAATGATACGTACTTCTGCTGCATGTTCGTTTGTAGTATTGTCTGCATCTGCTGGCTAAAAATAAACAACATTTATCGAGCTCCAAAGACTCAAATTTGGGGTCAAATGAGTACGGGTAAAATTTGAAAGTGCAGATTGATTGTTCTGTTTGTTTCCCTCTACGGTTTTCATTCATTGTTCCGACCACCTCACGAAGAAAGTAATGGAACTATGGCGTAGGGTGTATTTTTGTTGCCCCATTTTTTTGCCCAAAAATGATAGTAGGGAGTCAACAATGCTATCAAGCTACAGCTCTTTTAGTCTTTACTCAAATTCCAAAAAACTTACAAAAAAAACAAGACTGCTCGTATCAGGGCGAAGCACGGAATGTTCCGACTGCCTTTTAAGGTTTATGGAGCAGCAGTAATAACAAAAAAAATTAAATGAAAAAAAATAAAATGAAATTTTTTTTTTCTAAATTTTAATTTTTTTAATGAAAAACATCCCCCCACACGCCATATAAAGTATAAGAAGATAGATTTCGTTCCTTGCAACAAATCAATTATGGCAAATAAGCTTTGTTCAACCAATTTGGAACGATTTATAATACGGATTAAATCTCCACTTACGCGTAAATAGCGCGAATTATATCGCGCTTTAATTGTCCCAAATTGGTCAAAATGGCAATCTTTAAACCCTAATAGCTTTACGAAAAATGATCACAGGTAAAATATCTTTTCAAATTTAAGCTCAGGACAACAATACTTTTTGAATGATATAAAAAAATTCCGTCAAAAATGGCTAGTTAAAAAGTCGAAATTTGTCTGAAGAAAAAAAAAACCCACCCCGAGCACAAATATTCCGTTACTTTCGTATCAAAAGTCGGAACAATAAGTTGTCTCAATGTTGGGAAAAAAGTTTCCGGTTTAGACCAAATTTCACAAAAGTTGATGAAGACACTGTTCTCAAATTTGATGACATGCAACACAATTATACAGTATTATACTGTATTGAGAAATTTATACTGTTTAAAGCTATAGTTACCTCTTATTTATTGCAAACTTTTAATAATTCAATCACTTCTTCTTTTAAAAAAAAGAAGAAACTTCTGGATTTTTTGAGATTTTCAATTTGTTGTTTTTCAAATATTTTTACTTGAATTATTGTAGTCAGAAAAAAAAATCTAAATTTCTAAAAAAAATCTATATCTGAATATGCTGCTAATTGTTTCGACCATTTCACGAAATGAAGGGAAAGAACTATGAATTAGTTAGTGTTATTTATCCGCAGATTATGACTTCTTCAAGAAATCTCGTAGATAGTAAGACAAGGAATCAAATTTAAGCCTTTTCAGCGTTTGGTTCAAAACAAATTGTCTCCGTTCGAGAAAAACTGGTCTTTTTTTCTTCCATTTTCAGACAAAACGAAATTTACGAATGGCACTGGACTCTCATTGTGTCAAATCCATTGGTTGATTTATATCTCTATTGAATTATGAAGCCATTTTATCCCGCAATTGACACAGATTCCTACTTATTCGAGGTTTTGCAGAAAAAGAACGATTTATCGCAAATTTGAATAAAAAACCTTGAAAATTTCGTCACATAATAAAAAGTTGAGACTACACGACGACACTTTACGGCTTTAAGGAAAGCGAAAACTTTGGGACCGGCTGTTTATCATGTTCGGTGAAAAAATTCATACGGAATCAATCATCTCCTAATTTTTTTGATGTACTGCTTGATCCAACTCAGGCTGAACAGTGCTTCGAATCACCTGCGACATACAAAGAGAAAAAATTTCCAAAAATTGAAAAACCATTGAAATAGCAGAAACTCACCCAAAGATGTATTTCTAAAAATCTGAAAACTTTGAGAGTTAAATATAATTCTCAGGCGTAGAAACAATTCGAATAGGCGAAAAATTCCAAAAACTTTTTCCTTGTCACAAAAAATATCAACCATGTCTCAGCTCGATATCTTTCCAAAATTTTTAAAGCATACAGCGGACAAACGAATTAAGTTACCCGCACGATTATCTCGATATTGTACAAATTTTAGGCAACATCAAAAACTCACAAAAAGTTTACATGGAAAAATTTAGAATTTCGTAACAAGATAAAAAATAATCAAGCGATGCAATATAAAACAATCAGTAGAGAAAATTTTGAGCTGAAAAGTACATTATTACCAAAAAAAAGCGACAAAATAACAATAAAAATTACTCAGCAAGTTTTTTTTTGTCTTAAAAAATATCAACAATTTTTCAGCTCGACAAATTTCTTAAAGCATGCAGCTAACAGCCGAATCAAATTACCAGCATGATAATTTCGATATTGCACAGATTTTTGGCAACAGCAAAAATCACAAAAAAATGCAAGGAAAAACTTAAACCTTCGTAACAAGATAATTAGTCATCGCACAACACAATCAAAGAAACATTATATAGGATTAACAGCAAAAATTCACAAAAAAATGCAAGGAAAAACTTAAACCTTCGTAACAAGATAAATAGTCATCGCACAACACAATCAAAGAAACATTATATAGGATTAACAGCAAAAATTCACAAAAAAATGCAAGGAAAAACTTAAACCTTCGTAACAAGATAAATAGTCATCGCACAACACAATCAAAGAAACATTATATAGGATTAACAGCAAAAATTCACAAAAATGCAAGGAAAAACTTAAACCTTCGTAAAAAGATAAATAGTCATCGCACAACACAACCAAAGAAACATTATATAGGATTTTTCAACTCAAAAATTGTTGCAACTCAAAAACAAATTATTATACGGAGAGGAAGCGGAGATTCGCACCACTAGGGATACAAAAAAAGAAAGATTAGAAAATAAAGCTAAAATTTAAGAGGAATAACCATTCATTGTCATAAGCTCTATTGCAAAATGTTTCGAGAACTCGTCAAGGAGAATGCAGTAGTAAGGGAGACAAGTATGAAAGTTTTTATCATTTTGTAATCCGATTAATTTTTACATTCGGATAATCCTGAAAAAAATATAATTGCATCGTTAAAATTAAGTTTTCAAAGGTGTTAAGTGGCTTGGAGTATATGAGCGAATGAATATTATACAAAATTGAAGAACATGAAGAATGAAAAAACTTGACTTTAAAAAGTTGGTATATTAAAAGAGCAAAGAGAAAAATAACTTCTACGGATAAGTTAATTTTGAAATTGTGTGCATACAAATAAAAGTATAAATTTAGTCTATTGGTATGCAAACAATTTCAAAACAGTTTTCAAATCAGCTCAAATTGATTAATGTACCAAAAAACAGATCAGAAACTCAGCTGACTAAGTTTCAGACGGTAACAACGTTTCCCATAAATCAAACGCCATATTTAAAAAAATCAAACATAACTAAATTTATACTTTTATTTGTATGCACACAATTTCAAAATTAACTTTTGAATCAGCTTATACTGAGCAATTGAAGAAAAACCAGTATTAAACAAAGCCGAAATTACTTCAGGTGAAATCATTAAGGGAAAAGCAAGTTTCAAAAAATATATTTTCAAGATTTCATACAAGCGTCAAAACCTAGATATGAGTTTAAGCCAGTGCAAGCTGATCAGTAGAAGAAAAACAATGAACCGGCAGAACGGGACTCGAATTGTCCACCAAAGTCGGAAACATCTCTATAACCTCTCAGTCATCGTCACACTTTGAAACACTGTGAAGAGACAAGTCAGATGAAGAGACAAGTCAGATGAAGAGACAAGTCAGATGAAGAGACAAGTCAGATGAAGAGACAAGTCGAAAATGTTCGAAAAAATCATGATATTCAAGAAATGCCATTTGGAATGTAGAACACAAAGCTGACCCTTCAAAGTTTTCCGCGCAGCGAGAACAAAGCTGACAAGAAGTAAGCAGAGAGAGAATAAAATTTTATGCAATTTTTCAAAAGTAGGGTAATCAAATTATATTTATGTTTTCTGTAGTTTCGGCATGAATACCTGTTTATTGTCACAAGATATGAAAAACAACTCAAGATAAGAAAATAAATGGTTTTAAACGGCTAATCACACAGTTCCTATAGTCGGAAATTGTATGACTAGCCTTCTTCATGGTGATACAAAACTTTTTGGAGTGGAGTAAATTATTTAAGTTGCAAAAAATATCATCATTTTAAGCGCTGAATGAACTTTAAATATAAACAAATATTTTTATCAAAAACTGGTTATTTAGTGTTCTTAATCTAGTCCTGAGTGCTTGAAACTTCTATTTGTTTTTCTAGACATCTTTTTTGAAAATCTTGCAATTTTTTTCTTTGTTTTATATTGTTTTTATATGTCCTACGCAATTTAATATTGATCCAAAATTTTAATTTCGAAAATGCTCCATCCCAAAAAAAAAATAGTCAAAAACTAAAAAGTTAGTATTTTCAATATATTGCTAGTACAATTTAACAGATTTTAGGCCGCTCTAAATGCATATTGTGTGCGAGATCTTCATTGCCTCAGCGACTCAAGAGTTTTGAACATCCAGAGTCTTTGTCACATTGTTTGGAGAACTTTGGGTTTATGGAAAAATCATTGCTAGAAATTGCCTAAAATTTTTATCCTTGCATGGGAATCGTATGATTAGTATTTTTTATATATGGAAATTTTATGATTAGCATTTTTGGTCATCCCGAGAAGGCATGAGAAATTGCTAAGATAAATTTGTTTACAGGAAAAACTCTAGAACCCGATTTGATTACACTTGCTAGACACAAGAAAAAATAATTTTGGGGAAATTAAGATAACCAGTAACAAAGCTCTTATAAAAATAAAATTTCTGTTCAAATACAAAAATACAAGCAAAAAAATTATTTTCATATAAGCCTATGTAGCGCGTCCAGATCGTCCAATTGATCCTATTTGAAAAAAAAAGCAGTTGGCAGCACAAAATTTTACCGTAATAAGTTGATTGTTTTTCAAAACTTACGAAATCATGTCAAATACGAGAGTTTAACTTTATTTGCTACTTATTTGCATCGGAAGTTTTTTTCGTGGTAGCGCGCAACAAATACATAACTGAATGATTATTATCTAACAATAGGCGCGCTACCAAAGGGCCGCTATAACAAAAACAATAAATTTTGCAAAAACAATCAATTTATTACGGTAAAACTTTTTGCTCCCAATTGCTTTTTTCAAACTGGATCAATTGAACAATCTTCCTCCTTCAGAAAGGGGCGTGAAACTTCTTAAGCAACCTTTTCAGCCAATTATAATATGGAGAACGTGAACCGTACCGCTCTGTCGCCTGCCTCCTTGCTGTTGTCTTTGTTGTGGGATCTGGACTTCCTGGAGGATCTCTCCCTATCCCTCTCCCCTCTTTCCTTCGACTCTCTTTTCTCCTCACTCGAACGCTCTCTGGTCTTGACCGAAGAGGAGGTTTCTTTTCGGGACTGTTTCTCGTCCGATGGAGAAATGTGTCCATTTGTAGCACTCTTTTCCTAAAATGATCACAAAAATAACCATGCAGAATTTTAAAATAGCGCTGCTTTTGTCCTTTTGCAATAAAACTAGCAATCTCATGAATTTTCAGTTGAGCTTTATTCATTCAATTGCTCTAAAGTCTATGGAAATTAACCAGTGCGCAGAAAAAGCAGAAACTATAGTTCTAATTCAAATTAAGATTCGATTAAACACTCGTGCATCAGTCAATTACGCTCTAGAGTTCTCGTCGCTTAAATGACCACTAGATATAGTACACGCACTCCATAAGCCGGATGTAGAAATGAATTCGGAGCCCGTGTTCCAAAAATTTATAAACTTTTTTTGCAGATTTAGTGAATGTAGTTCCGAATAAGAGCTGATTTTATCAAAAAGTTTTAGAGCTAATTTTATCAAAAAAGGACTATCGATTAAAATTCAAACTGCATAAGAGTTATAGCAGTGTGAAATTCTAGCAATCTTTTGAGTTCACTCCTTCGAGCGTTCATTTTCAGCAGAAATTTACGCCATACACTTTTTTCTAATTTGAAGAATTGAACATTATAACACTCGAATCTCATAGCGGACTTCAGTTAAAAAATACTTTTATACTCGAATATGAGGTTCCTTAATGAAATGTGACGTCGAGTCCTGTGGTTCCTTAGCTTTTACTGAAGCGATTAGACATGTAAACGGCTGATTAGAAATCATATATTCCTGTCAAAACATAAGCAACCATTAATTATCAATTTATTATAGTCGACCGCGTTTTATGGCTTTTGGAAATTCAACGGCTGTGGAGTGGACAAAAATCAAAACATTAATATTCAGGGCTAAAGCTTTTTTATTGGTCCTATTTCCTATCATTTCTACTATTCTAGTTGCATAAGTTGGCTCAGCGTAAAAAATGAACTATGATATTTTAGTGCAAAAACACTGTCAAAACTGCTCGTATCAAGGCAAAGCCCTGATTGTTCCGACTGTCTTTTAAGGTCTATGAAGCAGCGTTCGCTTTAAAAAATTTGAAAAATTTTTTCGAAAAAAATGACAAAAATGTTGAGTTTTTTAAATCATCCCCCCACACGCCATAAAAAGTACAAAGTGATAGATTTCGCTACTAGTAACGTAGAAATTATGCCAAATAGTCTGTTTCATCTGTTTCAACTAATTTGGAACGATTTCTAAAAGGGATTAAATCTCCACTTACGCGTTAATAGCGCGAAATGTATCGCGCGATAATTAACCCAACTTGGCAATATTGGCAATCTTTAAACCCTCATAACTTTATGAAAAATGATCACAGGTAAAATATCTTTTCAGTTTTGAGCTCAAGACAACAATACCTTTCGGCTTATTTTAAAAATTTTGACAAAAATCCTTATTTTAAAAGTCGAAATTTGTCTGAAGAAAAAAAAACCCACCCGAACACAAATATTCCGTTACTTTCGTTACGAAAGTCGAAACAACAAGACTGCTCGTATCAGGAGCCCTTAATGCTCCGCTGCCTTTTAAGGTCTATGAAGCAGTAATAACAAGCAAAATCGAGACTTCGTATCAGGGCGAAGCCCGCAATGTTCCGACTGCCTTTTAATGTCTATGGTGCAGTAATAACAAGAAAAAACGAGTTATTATTATCTTTTAATAGGACCAAAATCTACCATTCTGTACGTTATATGGCGTGTGGGGATGATTTTGTTGCAGGGAGTTCATTTTTTTGAAAAATTCATCAATTTAACAAGACTGCTCGTATCAAGACGAAGCCCTGAAAGTTCCGACTGCCTTTTAAGGTTTATGGAGCAGTAATTACATAAATATCATCAACATATTAATTGTGATAAAATAAAATCCAAAAAATTTTTTCGAAAATTTGAAACTTTTTCTATAAAAATCATCCCACAACACGCCATTTAAAGTACAAAGTGACAGATTTCGCTCCTAATAACAAATCAAATATGGCAATAAAGCTTTCTTCAATCCATTTGGAACGATTTGTAAGACGAATTAAATCTCCGCTTATGCGTTTATAGCGCGGAATATATGTCGCGTTAATTGTCCCAAATTGACCGAAATGGCAATCTTTAAACTCCCATAATTTTACAAAAAATGATCACAGGTGAAATATCTTTCCAATTTTGAGCTCAAGACAACAATACTTTTTGAATGATATAAAAAAATGATCAAAAATGGCTAGTTAAAAAGTCGAAATTTGTCTGAAGAAAAAACCCACCCGAGCACAAATATTCCGTTACTTTTGTTACAGAAGTTGGAACAAAAACATCAAAGTATCGCTTTACTCGCTCGAAATTGAACTGAAATTTACAAATTTTAAACCGGTTTTTGTCGCACTGGGACAACTTTTCGAAGTTTTTTAAAAACTGGTTTCAAATTCTGATTCATAATTTTTACGCCTGGCATTAACTTATTTGAACAAGTTAGTTAAACTCAATTCAAGTCACAATAATTTTGAGCTCATATTAACTCGCTGCGTATTCGGTTTGCATACAAACTGGAAAAAAAGCTAAGAAAAAACTATTTAATTTTATCTTTTCTTATTTACCTACTTTATACCTTAACTTCACCAAGAACACGCACAAGCAAAAAAAATTATCATCAAGCAAATAACAACCAATGGGGCTTATATGGCATTCCCCACTTGATCAAGTACGAGCTTTGTTGGATGTAGTCAAAATCGGGCGTAAAAAACACAAGCTTATCCATTTTCCCAAACATATTTTTTCTTGAAGCAATCAAACATATTTTTTTCTTCTCGTAGCAATAAAATGAAAGCATTGTAACCCGATCAATACTTAATTACGAGCTCTTCTTATCTCTATCAGAATCAAGCAAATGAACAAAAATGGATTTTTTACTTTTTCGTCGCTGTCTGGTTTGGAGGAGCGGTGTTTTCGGCGGGAGTCTTTCTCAGATGTTTCTACTGGCTTCCGACTTTTGTCCTAAACACTTGAGATTTAGAAAAAAAGAGATATAATTTCGAGAAAGGGTGCTGCAGTTTTCTGTCAAAAAAGACCAATTTGCCAGCCTGTATAAAAAAACTACATGACAAATGACAGGTAATAAAAGTATCTAAAATGAGGAATCTAAGATTTCAATTAATAAAAGCTAGAAAGAAAGAGCTACTCGCAGAGAGGAAACAAACCTTTCCATTCACACTTGACCGCATTGGCGGTTTCTAGGTAACAAAATTAACAAGTTGAGATTTTGGTAACGAAAAATTGTTGAAATTGCTTCTCCCGAAACAAAAAAGAGACATTGTGTTCTACCTCTGATTTTTTGTCTTCTGCTTCGTTTTGACTGCTCGATTTTGCAGACTGCTTTCGCTTATCAGAAGGTTTGCCTCCGTTTAAAACACTCTCGATTGCACTTCCTGAATCTACTTTGTCCTGAATAAAAAAACAGTTGACAAGCATCTGATTTTGGTATCAACGCTTTAGTAGGTTAAGCAGCCAGGGCGCAACCTGGAGGATACTAAGGCTTTGATTTATTAAAAAAATAGCAAACCAATCATTCAATTTGATTCAGTGGCTAATAATATCCAGAATAGTTAGCTTCTAAATTTGAAGAAAAAAATAAATGAGTGTTTTATAATATTAGGTGTTTTAATTCTATAGTTTTTACTTAAAGATTCGATTCAACGATAAAATTAACACTCACAAGTAAAGCTTGTCCAAGTATCTGAAGCATCTCGTTCGTTTTTTCGGGCTCATGGCCTGCAATAATTTTGGTGGGTTTTGCTGATATAGATTTTCCTGTGCTGATCTCTGAAAATGCATTCAAATGAAACTAAGGAAATTAATACATGTATGAACTTGGCATACATTTTAATATAATACTACGGGCTACTTTACTAAAAAAAAATAATAGATCTTGACTCTAAAGACATTATTTGAGCGTACAGAAACGAGAGAACATACTTAGCGCAGCTTACTTTTCAGTGAACATTATATATCAGCTTTTCAAGACATTCTGCCAGTTCCGCAAATTTTTTGCCGATAAAAAAATTCCATGAGAACTCGCTTCAATCCAACTGCTCATTATCCATTAAAATACTAATTATATTGGCGCTAAAAATAACGGCGCGAAAAGTTGAGCTTTTAATATACGCTTTATGATCAAAAATTGCCCACTAGGGATGAAAGAACTTATTACAGCTTGGGAAACTAAAAAATTTAGCTGTAAAATTTGTCAAGTCACGGATTAGTTGGCGGTATTTCTCTTACTTATTGCATAATCAAACAAACACAGAACTTTAAACTAAACATTCTTTATTTTTAAACGTATTGCTCAAATATAATTTATAGATTGGGATCTAGTAGACTTCTCCTTAGCATTTTTAAAAGACTTTCGATTTCCTGTTTTCATCAAAACAAAATAACTTAGGCGGTTTTAAAGCAAAAAAAAAGCAGTTTCATGAATTAGAGTCTTTGATTTATTGATGAAATTACTTATAAATCTCATTACTCTCTGACAGCGGAAATTTGATTTTAAGTCTTTGAGAAGAATATGTGAAAACAATACTAACGAATGACGTCGATGGCTTTTTGAAGAAAGGATATTTTTATTTCTTTTGCCTAAACAAGAGGACTTCAAATCAAATCAGTCACCCTTCCAATAGACCTTGAAAAAATCAAAAACTACAACTCACGGTTTCTTTACCAGGTGGAGCACTTTCGTCACTATTAAAAACACCTTTGAAAAAACCAGAGGCATTGTTCACCTAGACAAAATAACTGGTACATTATAAAGTCTAATCATCTCAAAATCTAGCAAAAAATTCGTTCACCTCCATTATTATGTCATAAAGGTAGCGATATGGTGGCTTTGACAGCAATTTCTCTGATAAAGGCGGCCTTTTGATACTCTGACCAAGGGTTTTCTTGGTTTTTTCTATATTTAGTTCAGGCATAATCTGAAATAAACATGTGAGGCCTATTAAAAAGATCATCTGATCTCAACTAAAATTTAACTTGGCAAAGAAAATTAATAGAGTTCAACTTAAAATCTAGTCAGATACATGGAAAACAAAACTAATTAAAGAAACGAGTATTTCAACATTTTCTGAAAAAACCACTTAAGATAAGTGAGTTCGTATGTGGAGTTTCACATGAATTGTTTTAACATGGTAAATCAGAAGGCCAATAATAATCATGCTAACCTACTTCACTAGTCCTTCACCCAGTCAAAAAACCATTGGAGTTTCATACATAAGGAAAAAGTAAATTATAGCGTGAATAGATGTAGAGAGCTAGATGGTTAGGAATCAAGCCAACCAGAAAGTTCACTTGATTCATTGAACACTTAGCTTAACACCCGTTGTGAAATAAGCCAGCAATTTCAAAAACAAGCCTTTAGAGTTGATACAAAATAATCTAAAACTAGTCTTCAGTCTGTGAGCCACTGATTTTCGCAAGAGAACAATTAATATTTTTTGGTGGATTTGTTTATATAAATTTCGGAAAAAAAAAGATTTTCGAAAAAAAAAACTTTATCGTGAAATACAAATACTTGTGAATAAAGAGTGTTCGTTCAACTGGAAAAATTTCTCATTTGGCCAAACAAAACCTTCAGCACAATACTATTTTTTTAACATTCAATTCGAAAAAAAGTGTGAAGTGATTCCTACATTTTTTTGTGATGAAGGTGCAAAATAATGTTCACAATATTTTGCACCTCCATTACTGAAAAAAAATTAGCAATCACTACAAACTTTTTTTCGGAATGTTAGAAAAAGAGTATTGTTCTAAATGTTTTCCTTGACTCAATGAGAAATAAAAAATTTAGAATTTTAATTCAAAAGATTTCGCACAAGATGATGCTCAAATTGTGCGAAAACGTTTGAATTAACATTTTAAATTTCTTGTAGCCATTTTTATTAAAGAGAAAATTCATAGGTTGAAATTTTTCTTTTATTGAAATTTCTGTTTGCCTGAAATTCTTCGAAAACAAATGAAAATTAATTCCGTTTTTAATCGTAAGACAAAGAGAAAAACTGTTTGGTTACTCTCGCAGTTTGCTATGGATGATATCGATATTTTTCCATATGGATTGATAGTTTTTCTTTTTTAAACATGACAAAAAAATTTTGACGAAAGGAACAGAATCGAAAAGCTGTCCTGCAAAAACGAGAAAAAAAAGACTCAAAAATTTTTTAGATGCTGTATCCGATATACTGCTACAATTCCCCACAACAAACAACAATACAACAGAAGATGACAATCTCAAAAACAAAAAACTGTGACAAATGATGACCGCAAACTGCATTCACTGACAGTTATTGCTACTCCCGAAGCAGAGCAAATTATAACCAGCATCAAAAGCGAAGGAATAATTCTTTATAACAGGACGGTGTTTCCCAAGGGATGCTTTACAAGGTCTACTACTACTACTAGGTCTCATAGAGCCAAAAACATTTGATCTAAGCAAGCCAAAATCAAATTGTCTAATTTGGTTTTGCATGCAACGATATCGCAGCAATTCTCCAATTAACGGAAGACATTTAACCCAACGTGAGACCTTTTCCAGGCCGGACTGCAGTAGACGAATGTTACATAGTGTTTTTATGGCGCTCCTGGGTGTTTACGACATCAAGACTACGGAGTCGAACCCACTTGAGACAGCTTCGGGCTGAATGCCCATTCTAGAGTACCGGCGGTACGGTTCGACAGGAACGTGCAAACCTTCCGGTTGTACCGTGATAGCTTTTTAAGAAAACTCGAGAAAATTTCCTGGTACGCTCTCCGAACGAGGCTTAGCTAACCGAGTAAAGGGGGGCAACTAGGGGGACAAAAACACGAGCAAAAAGACAAAAAGCAAAACAAAAACCAAAAAAGAATAGAAAAAGGAACAAAAACCATAAAACGAAAAAAGACAGTGACTTTGACACCAGATTAGTTGGATCAAACCTTTATATTAATTAAATAGTATACCCATACTGTTTTACAAGTTCGATCGTTTCGATCAACCTAGCAATTTAAACCAGTAAACTGAAGAAAGTGCCCGAAGTGGGGCGTGGTCAAAGGTTTTCAGATAGCTTGGAACTTAGCTGGACCAATAGGAGAATTAACTGGAAGAGGTGACCAGCCGAGTGGGAAAGTGGCTCAGGGACACTTGAATTGAACCAATAGGAGACTTGACTGGAAGAGGTGACCAGCCGAGTGGGAAAGTGGTTCAGGGACATTTGAGCTGAACCAATAGGAGACTGGACTGGAACAGGTGACCAGTCGAGGGGGAAAGCAGCCAAGAAGGATTTGGCAATTCTCGAGTTCTCAAGTTGGGCAGAACGGGTATCGTTAGAATCCACATTACATTATAGGAGATAAGTGTAAAATTGGATAAGCGAAATCCCCCAGTTTTGAGGAACGTTTTTACTTGAGCAGGCCTGGAAACAGGTCTACGGTTTTCTCTTGAGAGGTTTAGCACCCGGCGCTTAAAGTAATTTTTAGGCTTAAGAAGGGGGGCTAGAAAGGGGGGAGGTTAGACGGGGGACTGGTTAAGTTAGAGGTTGGCGGTTGTAAATTGTAAAAAGGGGGAAATTAGAGTAACTAATTAGTCGACATCGTTGACTTAGTTACATTAGAAATTAACACACGTTGGTAATATTAGGTGGAGATCGAAATTTGAACTCGAGTTAAGACTGGTACGCTGGTTGGTTTGGTAGGGGGGACCGGATATAGACAGCTTTTGTGATACCCCATAAGATCACTAGTGGGGGGAGGAAAACGCGTGGCAATTAGGTACCAGACATTTTTTTTTTAGACGAAAGGTAGACATTGGTTACCTTTGAATTTCAGGTGGGCTCATTTTTCTGTTTTTATTATTTTTTTTACTTAGATTTTTGTTGCATTTTAGTGAGGATTTGTGTTTGGTTTAATACGAACAGGTGATCACAAGATACCTGCGCACCTACATTGAAATAGAAACAACCAAAAAGAAGAGGGGGGTCAGCATTTGGCTTTTAAGAGAGGGTTTTTGGGAAAATTTTACTAGAGCTTGAGTGGTGGTACAAGGTACGGTGATTCAAGAAGACCCTACAACGAGGAAGACACTCCGTGACGAGTCTTGGGACAGTACCGAAGAAGTCTTGGGACAGAGCAGTCTTGGGACAGTGGTCTTGGGACAGGGTCTTGGGACAGTGGTCTTGGGACAGGGTCTTGGGACAGTGGTCTTGGGACAGGGTCTTGGGACAGTGGTCTTGGGACAGGGTCTTGGGACAAGGGTCTTGGGACAGGGTCTTGGGACAGGGTCTTGGGACAGTGGTCTTGGGACAGGGTCTTGGGACAGGGTCTTGGGACAGTGGTCTTGGGACAGGGTCTTGGGACAGGGGTCTTGGGACAGTGGTCTTGGGACAGGGTCTTGGGACAGTGGTCTTGGGACAGGGTCTTGGGACAGTGGTCTTGGGACACTGGTCTTGGGACAGTAGTCTTGGGACACTAGTCTTGGGACACTAGCCTTGGGACACTGGTCTTGGGACACTGGTCTTGGGACAGTAGTCTTGGGACACTAGCCTTGGGACAGTAGTCTTGGGACACCAGCCTTGGGACACTGGTCTTAGGACACTACCCTTGGGACACTAGTCTTGGGACAGTAGTCTTGGGACACTAGCCTTGGGACACTAGTCTTGGGACAGTAGTCTTGGGACACTAGCCTTGGGACACTGGTCTTGGGACACTACCCTTGGGACACTAGTCTTGGGACAGTAGTCTTGGGACAGTAGTCTTGGGACACTAGCCTTGGGACACTAGTCTTGGGACAGTAGTCTTGGGACACTAGTCTTGGGACAGTAGTCTTGGAACAGTGGCCTTGGTACAAGGGTCTTAGGACACTAGCGGAGAGTACTGTGATAGTGACGAATAGTCTTGGGACGGTATAGAAATTGAAGTCAAATTACAACAAGTGCGTTTTAAGACAGAATAAGACAAATCGAAATAGGTAGGGTTAAGACCAAATTAAGGAAAATTTTTCGGAGGTTTTAGAAAGAGAATTGGATAAGGTTTTTAACACGTTGTACAGAATTTGTTACCACAAAAAATATTTTTTTTACCCTTAGAATAGAATCGTGTATATAATAAAATTGTAAATAGAAGCAGTTGTAAATAGAAATAATGAGGCGGAGTAGGGTACCGGTGCTCGAAAAAAGGTCAAGTGGATCAAACACGAAATATAATTCATCGCTGCGCGGAACGACATCAACGGGCCCAAAGATAACGAAGACGAACTTTTCAGTTAACATGGTCAGCACAAGGAGTACAGCGGAGAACAGGGCGAAAGAGGGCACGGAAGGGGAGCGAGTAGAACCCACCATCGAGATTGATCTAGAGACACCCGATCAAAGTGTGGATGAAACAAGGAAGATGGCGACAGAGTCAACTCCAATGCCCAATGCAGAGGAACCGAACCAGAAACCCATAGAGTTCTCACCGATAGATGACGCGGAAGATGCAATAGGCAACACCGAAGAAACGGTGAAAGAAGACTCTCAAGTAAAGAGGACATCTTTTACGGAAAAATTGGGAATAATGTTCGGAATAAAAACAAAAGAAAACGTGACTGAAGAACCAAAAGCAGAAAGAGCACGAACATTTGGGACAGTGAGCACGAAGACCTCAGAAGCCAATCCAAGAGAGGAACAAGCTAAAGCAGAGGCTACGGCCGAAGAGAGACCGACAGCTGACCATGAAGAGACTACCATTGAGCTGGGTGACTTGTTGGCGAAATTAAATCAGATTGACAAAAGACTTAAGCACAGTGAAGAAGACAGAGAGGTGATAAAAAAGGAGATAAGATACAACAAGCACGAGTATCTAGACAGTTATTTTAACCTAGCTAAGGCAACAGATGAGAGACTCAAGGAAATGTCAGATAAGGTAGAAGCCACCAATGAAGAACGAGAAAAGAACATCAAAACAGACATG